TCAGAGAAAAGACAGCAGAGCTATCAGTGTTTGCAGCGTGACTACAATTGTGAGACAACACAAAGCAAAACACAGCATACAGAGGCTTTGTCTTTTAACAGTGGTTTATATACAAGGCAGTTTTATATATATACATAGACGTAGTAGGCAAATACTTGGCAATCAATCTTCTTTACTCTGCACAGAAAACTACAATGGAGATAGAACACAAGGAGAAAGAAACACCCCCTCATGGCCTCCTCTATATAGACAGCTTCTTAAAGAGGCAATAACCCTGTGGACCCATCCTCAGTCTTAAAGGGGCAATACCCAACTGACTCATCCTCATTGCATCAGCATTTATAGCAGCTGGTCAGCTATTAAATATTCATTACCTTAACAAGGGCCCACAGCTGCATAATGGGAGAAGCGGCTCAGAAGAGACACTCCCTAGTTTCTCAGGCTGTAAAAGGGCAGGTGTATGTGTGTTGTGGTTCACCGGCAGCAGGTGCGGACGGCTGAGGTCTCAGAGAACGAGGACTCAGATGAGGGGCCTGCGTGTGATGCAGGGATGGGCCAGGACCATCAGGGAGGGGAATGCTGCCTTCGGAGATTGTGGAGGCTGGCAGCAATGAGGAAGAGGCCCCCGAGGAGCCTGTGGCCAGTGTGCGTGTTGGCAGGGCTGCTTGAAGGACAGAGCAGCTGCAGCAGCACGGGCGACTCAGGAGTAAGGCTGCAAGGTAACGGCCCCTCCCTCAAGAGAGAAAAGCCAGCTGATAAACTGCAGTTCTTTGTAGAAGGCAAAGAAGTTTTACACTCGAGCCTGGTGGATGTTAGGAATATCCGAGTTGGTGTTTGGAAATTCTTTGTGTTGGAATCATTGCTTAGTAACTTTATCTGGTGTTCTTGGCAGCCTTGCAAAAACTTGGCAAGGCTCTTTCTTATCGGAGCTAATTGGTTTGAAGCGGCCTTTTACCCATGAAGGAATGGGATTCGTAAATGAAACATTAAAAGGTTGTGCTGTTACCTTTGTCTCGTGTTTGCTTCCTTGGAACCAGGTTTGGGTCAGAACAGGTGGAAGGATTGTACTTTCAAAATCGCAAGAGTTTGCCAATGTAATTCTACAAGCAAGTCAGGATTCACTTAATAACCATGTCACTAATTAACAACTGCAGTGACTCACTTAACGGTGGCAAAAAAAGATTGTAAATTGGGGACACATTCACTTAACACATGTCTCACTTATCAACAGAAATGTTGGCCTCAATTATGGTCGTAAGCCAAGGACTACCTGCCTTTTTAGAAATTGAACACTACAGTTGGGATTCGTTTTATAAAATAAAACCAGTTGAGGAAAAGAATGCTGTTATCACTCAGAGTTTTTTTAAAAATATATATATAATGTAATAAAAACATATTGCAAATCTGATCAGACTGAAAAGGTGAAAGTAAGACTCAAAAGTACATTTCAATATACTATTAATGCTCAGATGTAGCGTGGAAAAATGTCATGGAAATTTTTTTTGGGGGGGGGAATAAATCCTCCTGGTATTTTTATTTTTCACCATTAAGGCTAAGAGTATAAAATACATACAGTAAATCAGTACAAGGAGCAAAGGCTGGATTCATGATTTTACTACCCATAATTTAGTTCTTTTTACGGCTTGCTAAACCGGGAACCAACCTCTGTGCTACGAAAACATAAATTTACGGTTCACTATATACATTGTGTACCAGCCAATTGTGATTCCTGCTGTGAACCAATAAACCACAGTTTAATACCGTAGGTGAACTTAGCCATTCAACAGGAAATGGGAAGCATGTTTTAAGTTTCAGTTCAGAAGCCCAGGGTTCAAATCACATGAAAAGATTTCTTGAATTCTTTGGGCAAAAAATTAAAGAGTATAAAAAAAAAAATCAGAGGAGAAATAAAAAAGAAAACTCTGCCATCCACCCAGCCGTACCTTGCAGATCAGTGGGGTTTTTTTTTCAACCTTTAAAGATTTGTGGACTTCAACTAACTCCCAGGATGCTGACTGGGGGAATTCTGGGAGTTGAAGTCCATGCCTCTTAAAGTTGCCAAGGTCAAAAAACACAGTTGCAGAATTAGAAATATAATTAAAAATACAAGTAGACCTTGACTTATAACTGTTCGTTTAGTTAACTGTTTGAAGCTACAACGGCACTGCAGGAAGTGATTTATGACCATTTCTCACACTTACGACTGTGGTGGTAGTCACGGATCAAAATTAAGACAACTGACTCGTACTTATAATGGTTGCAGTGTCCCAAGCTCATGGGATCCACCTTTTGCAACCTTTCTGACAAGCGAAATCAATGTGGAAGCCAGATTTACTTTCCAACAGTGTTACTAACAACTGTGACTTACTTAACAATTGCGGCAAGGAAGGCATAAAACGGGGCAAAACCGACTTATAACAAATGTTTCGTTTAGCAACAGAAATTTTGGGCTCCATTTTGGTCATTAAGTCGAGGACTAGCAGTATGTAACTTCTGTGCCACTCCGTTAATTATAAGGTTGCTTTAATACCCTGTTTTTCTAACAAGAATAAATAAATTCACTGTTAACGAAGGAAGGAAAAGGCTTTGATCTGTGCAAGACTGACAGATCTTCAAAATGCGATAAAGTAGGAAATGGCAAAGAGGGGAAAGGAATGATTACCAACCTGTTACCTGCCTTGAGAAAACAAAAACAAACCACATAAAAGTTTACTTTCAGAGTAAAAATGGTTTCAAGTTTGCATAAACAATGCCCTATCTTTAGACTTCAGATGGACTGAAAGCAGGGAAAACAACAATCAGCCCCAACACACAGAAAACTTTAGATTGCTAAATAATATCCGTTACAACATAATAAGCATTACTTTAAAGGACAACGAGGCTTTAATTGTTACCAAATGCGTATTTATTCAGCAATGGGAGAAGGCCATCTCTACCAAAAAAAGCACCAGGATCCAAGGAATTCAACATTTTTTAGGGTTTTAATTTCTACAACCACCATCATCACCAAAAAAATATGAAGTTATTTTCAGAAAATTCTATGAAAATTCTTCATGGGGTGGGGAGGAGAATGTCATAGCTACTTGCCATATGTTGCTGGCAATATTCTCAAATTGACCCCTCAACTAGCTTCGTAAATTACAAAAGCAACGTTTTCACAGGGGCCCATCAATAAACAGAGATTTGCGGCAAGATTTGCTTATGTCCATAAACTAGGTTTGTTTTAAGCTTTGCTGAATTGAGCGTCTGTTGGTGGACTTCCAAGCAACAGACTAAGCCATCAACCCAAGATGGCAAACCACCGTGCACATGGTTATAAATCAGACTGGGACTTGGTTTAGCCAATTTAAATGCAGCAAACCACGGTGGCCTGGTTTCAAATCCAACCTACCTCACAAATTAAAAAACCAGGAACTGGAGTCACCAGGCAACTCATTATATCCTAACCCTATTATACCCAAGTGCAGAGGTTAGTCCAATCTTGGCAACTTTAAAAACGTGATAAAATCAGCATAGCTGGCTGACAAATTCTTGGGAGCTGAAGTCCACAAGCCTTAAAAGTTCCCAAGGTTGGTCACCCTTAGCTTATGGTATAAATATTGATTTTATGAAGTTCTTAAAGTCTTTGTATATCCTTTTCATAAAAAAAAAAAAAAGCTCAACAGCAATGTATAACAATATATATTTGAAGCCAGAAAAAGAGAGGTGCATGCACAAAAGTCCAAACCACCGTTCTGCTGGCTGAGTGTGATGGCCTCTTCACACCTCATAATGCAACCTAGTTTAGATAACTTTGCTTTAACCGGGGGTTGCTCATTGCAGCTTTGGCCAAACAAGACGGGCAGAGGTGTTCATCCAAAATATTAGAGTAACCAAGTTGGAAGGGACCTTGGAGGCCTTCTAGACCAACCCATTACTCAAGCAGGAGACCCTATACCATGTCAGACAGACCAGGCTCTTCTTAAACACCTGCAGTGATGGAGCAACCACAACTTCTGAAGGTATGCCGTTCCACTGGTTAATTGTCCTCAACTGTGAGGAAATTTCTCCTTAGTTCTAGGTTGCTTCTCTCCTTGGTTAGTTTCCATCCATTGCTTCTTGTCCTGCCTTCTGGTGCTTTGGAAAATAGGTTGACCTCCTCTTCTTTGTGGCAGCCCCCCCCCCCAAAAAAAAAATACTGGAATCCTGCTATCATGTCACCCTTGGTCCTTTTCACTAGACAAGACATACATACCCAATTTCAACCGTTCTTCATATGTTTTAGCCTCCAGCCTCCTAATCATCTTTGTTGCTCTTCTCTGCACTCTTTCTAGAGTCTCAACATCTTTTTTAATAATATGACAACCAAAACTGGATGCAGCATTCTAAGTATAAGATAAGTGTAAGATAGAACAATTAAATCAGTGGAACAACTTGCCTCCAGAAGCTGTAAATGCTCCAACACTTGAAGTTTTTAAGAAGAGATTGGATAACTATTTGTCTGATGTAGGTGTAGGGTTTCCTGCCTAAGCAGGGGGTTGGACTAGAAGACCTCCAAGGTCCCTTCCAACTCTTGTTATTCTATTGTCTATATTTATGACAGTTACAGGGTCCTCGAGTCCTGTGTGGTCTTTCCAAGGCATTATAACGCGGTACTAACACTCCCCGCTTTGCGCTCGAAATCCGGCTTTCTCCCCGCGCACGCAGAAGGAGCGCCCAGCTTTTCCCCAGCCTTTTGGCCCTATTCCTCCCCAAGGCAGAGCTGAGACCCCCGGTTGCCCCTGGGGTTCTCCTCCTCGGCAGCGTTGCGCCCCAACCTCTCAAGCGCGCGTTTTGCAAGGCGCAAAGCGATTGCCATTTTGCAAGGGTGCAAAAACGGCTGCTTCGGTTCGATTTCCCAGCCCGGGGCCGCCTCGCGCGACTTCCAACCCCTTTGTTCCCTGAACCCCGCAGGGAATTGCATCGCACAAGGGACAGCTGCACTCTGCGCATGGCCAGAGGCCTCCGTTCCGGTTCCTTACCGGCACCGCCTCTCCCCGTGCGCAACCGAGAAGTCCCCGCCATCGCCCCTCCTTCCTGCCTGCCCGCCTGCCCGCCCTCCCTCCGGGGCTTGCTCGGGAACCGCCCTCGGCCCGTCTCCGCACAACGGAGGGACGAAGAGGCTGAGCCGGCCACCCTTTACGCGCTCCCGGCCCCGGGGATGCCGGTGTGCAACGAAGGGCGTCGTGTGCCACGCGGAACCAATCGCCGATTGCGCACCGTCTCTGGCTGAATTCCAGCGCTTGATGGATGCGGAAGCGGAGCAGCTGGATTCGCTCAGCCCACTTGCTAAACTGGGAGACTGGGCTTTGCAAACCAACAATCGCAGTTGCGTAACTTTTTCAAGCCCTGGACCCGAGGTCTCCAAACTTGCCAACTTTTAAGACTTGCGGACTTCAACTCAATTCAATTCTTGGGAGTTGGAAGTCCACAAGTCTTCAAGTTGTCAAGTTTGGAGACCTCTGCTGAGTGGACAGTTGTTTGGCTTGGAAACCTTGGTGGATTGCAATCCAAGCCGGCCTGAATGCATCCAGGGCTCCCAGCCATAAGTCAAGATGGAAAAATTCACTGTTTCGTGAATTCATATTGATTAGCCATCAATGGCAGCTCATATAAACCAAAAGCAAAAAGTGGGTTTTTGTAGAGCACGCAGTGCCAAAACTAAACACCCAGAGGTGGCATTCAGCTGGTTCTGACCGGTTCTGAAGAACCAATAGCAGAAACTTTGAGTAGTTCGGAGAACTGGCCAATCCCACCTCTGACTGGCCCCGCCAACCCCATCTCTTCTCTGCCTCCCATTGAGGCAGATTGGCTGGGTCTTCTTTGGTTGCCCTGCACAGGAGAATGGAGCTGGAAAGCAGGTTAATGAGGTGGGGAGGGAATGAGGATTTTGTAGCATCCTTCCCCTGCCACACCCACCAAGCCACGCCCATCAAGCCACACCCACAGAACTGGTAGTAAAAAAATTTGAATCCCAACATTGGTTTCCTTACCTGGTTAAGTAACATGTTTACTGGAGTTTAGGGGATCAGAGGTGGTATTTAGCAGGTTCTGACCGGTTCTGGAGAACCGGTAGCGGAAATTTTGAGTCATTTGGAGAACCGGCCAATCCTGCCTCTGACTGGTCCCGCCAACCCCATCTCTTCCCTGCCTCCCATTGAGCCCCATCTGACTGGGCCTTCTTATGTTAGCTGGGTCTTCTTATGTTGCCCTGCACAGGAGAACGGAGCTGGAAAGCAGGTTAGCGGGGTGGGGAGGGAAGGGGGATTTTGCAGTATCCTTCCCCTGCCACGCCCCCCAAGCCACGCCCACAGAACCTATAGTAAAAAAAAAAATGGAATCCCATCACTATAAACCGCCAACCACTGTCTTCTGCGTAACATCAATTTTGGGGAAAAGATGGGAGTGGCTGGTTTCATTGGGGAGACTAGGAATACAGCTAGTCCTCGACTTACGACCACAATTGAGCCCCAAATTGATGTTGCCAAGTGAAATCTTGGTTAGGTGAATTTTGCCCCCTTCTACAACCTCGTTTGCCACAGTTGTTACATGAATCATTGCAGTTGTTAAGTTAGCGATGTTATTAAGTGAACCTGGCTTCCCCAGGGACTTGTCAGAAGGCCTCAAAAGGGGATCACGTGACCCCAGGACACTGCAACCGTCATAAATATGAATCAGTTGCCAAGCATCTGAATTTTGATCCCGTGACCCAGGCGAGGCTGCAGTGGTCGTGAGTATGAAAAACAGTCGTAAGTCCCTTTTTTTTCAGGGGCCCCTCTAACTTTGGTCACTAAATGAACTGTTGTAAGTCGAGGACTGCCTGCACAATAACGATCTGAGCATTTGTAGGCCTGCACCGAGTAAGCAGCCACTGAAGAATTTAACATGGGCTCTGTGTGTTTGTGTTTGTGTTTGTGTGTGTGTGTGTGTGTGTTTGCCCATGCACACACAGGTAGTCCTGTGGTGGCCTGTCCGCCGCCAGCCTCTCCAGCAGCCAAATCGGAGGAGGAGGAGGAGGAGGTGTGGGAGTCAGGGTCAGCCTCAGGGCCACCTGGGAGCTCTCAGGGGGGAGAGGGAATAGAAGAGGGGGGGAGGGAGAGGGAAAAGGAAGAAGGAGGAAAAAGAGGAGAGGGAAAGAGAAGGAGAAGGAGGAGAAAGAGAAGGAGGGAGAGAGAGGGAGAGGGATTGAGATGGAGCCTGGGCTGTCTATCAGCCCTCAGATGGAGAGTCAACAGCCCCCAGGTGTGGAGGTAGCTGATGAGGAAGAGGA